CGGATTTCAAAGCTGCACTAATCATTATTTTTATATTAAGTGACCACAAACAACATAAAAGAGATTTAAAACACTACCGTCGAACAACCACCCAATCCTGCAGCTTCTTTGTGGGGTTTTGTGGCAGCTTTTATTTTAGCTTATTATTTTGGTTTTACGTCTGCAACCTCTCTGTTTTGGTTCCGTCACGCTGCTGCTGCCACCCACACCAGATAAATCCCACTTTTTTTTCCCAACCGTCCTAAACCACAGACGAACAAAGTGAGAGACCGGCTTGTGAGTGCAGCGTTTTGCACGTAAAGACCCACAGATTCCTCTAAAGAGGCGTTGCTCTCGCGAACACTTCATCGGTCGGCCGTAAACATCACCCCGAATGAAAGTTGCTCCGCGTCAGCTGGCAACGGTTTCCCAACGAGTTCAACTCCCGACTTAATAAGGTGATAATAAGTCAACGTCTTGCTTACAGCTCGACTTCAAGCGGCCATAAACTTCACTGGTGCAGCTTTAATACCAAACGCTGCTTATTATGGACACAATTTGCTACGAAAAGTTTATGGATAAAAGCAGAATTATCCATAAGCAGCAGGGTTAAGAATCCATGCTCAGACCGAAAGCTGCACACAAACTTTTCCGACAGACGGCGGAACTTTCGGTACTGATTTTCAATACGACAGCAATATGCGACGTGGGCGTTGTTCTGCACGCATCGACATATGCAGCTGCAGCGTCCCGACTACCCTTCAACCCGTAGCTGCAGAGCTGAAAGGGCTGAGCGAGGGCTGGACCCGAGCGTAGTGTCGGCTGATTGTTACCATGCAGCAGATTAACATCAGTGGTCAGATCTCCCAGTCTAATTTCCATCCACTTTTCAGCGGTAGGCCCCTCTATGCAAACCTGTTCTACATTAAAGAGCAAAAGGGCTCTCTGGCTCCCCTGAGGTGCGCTAACTTTCGCTTGTTATTTAAGAAAGGAGGAAAGTTGACTGCAAGCAGAAGTGCACATTACTACTCCCCCTTTATTCTACCTATAGCCTCGCAGCCATTACTGCTAAACCCTGTGATATCTCCACCAGCAGCTACAAGTTTGTGCAGCGTGCATCGTATGCAAAAGCGTATTTACACGTGAAACCCGCTCAGTGTACATGATTATTATAACATGCATCCATTAAGTTAAATCTGATAGCAGCTTTTCCTGTATAGAGGCATTTCTGACACACCCATGAGGTTTTCAGCAACACATAAACAGTTTTAAGCAGCGGCTGAAGGAAAAATCACAAACAAAAATTGAGAATGCACATAATATCTCTTTTTCAAATCCGTTTCATTCATCTACTCAAGCATACTTGACATTTTTGCTCATCAAATAGTCCGAAATTCCAGGAAAACGCACAGATTTCTATCGAATAATGTCACTGATCACGCTCACATTTGTGTGTAGTCTTCAGTCAAAGGCCCAAAATAAACTCTGAATGCTCTAAAACTGTATTTGTTTTAGCTTCTAACAGAATAAAATCAGATTATATGATGCTTAACACACACATTATGTACCATCCGACCAGACGAGGCACATATTTGGACTCTTCCTTCCTGGAACAAACCCGCAGATAGACAGCAAACCGGCTCGCGAATTCACTTCAAAGCACGTACAGATTTACCTCCAGTCATCTGTTTTAAGAAGAATTCGGCATGCAGGTCGTAAGAAAGCAGACAGCGAAAGTTTCTCCGTCTGACAGATCTAAATAAGGCTCAGAGACCCTCAGATTCCTACGAAATCCCTGCAGCTAGCAGCGAGCTAAGTGAAAGTCGTGTTAATATAAGCCGATGTGATTTGATTTGTCTGTGATTTGTATCTTCTTCCCCCTTCCTGTCTTGTCGCTGGGTCTGGGGTATTTGAAGACGGCCTTTTTCTCCCAGCCTGATGGGAACTCGGGGCCTGCACAGCATCTGGTTGACTTGGAAACAGCTGTGTTTTCACAGATCTGACTGAGGGTTTATAGCTGCTCAAAGCAAGCTCGGGTTCACTGGGCCTGTTTGGCTAAACAATGTTAAATCTCACGTCTCCCCCTCGCTCGCAGTCCCTCTGAAACAACTCCGAGCGTCTCAGCTTCTCTTCTTGTTCTCAGAGAATGTGCGCCGTCAGTGAGTCTCGCGGAGGATCCGGAGGGTTATGAGGTGTTTATTTTAGTAAATAAGTGTATGACGGTTGAGTTTAGATGTCGTAAATTATCGTTTGATGAACTTTTATGTTCCTGTTCCTGGTTGCAAATACAACAAGAAGTGCTGCTGTTTCGCTGTCCAGCATCGGTTATTCAAAGCAGGCGACGCGGCAATAAATTCAAAACAATTCCTTCAGACAACATTTAACATCAGTGACTCTTTGTTTCCAGAGTAAACAGGCAAGCTGGCACAAGAACTGTCCAAAACAATCTCATCGCTCAACTTCCAACACCTTGAATCCAGCATTCATAATAATAATAGTTTTATGAATGCAGCGCTGTGTCGCTTCATCCTATAAACCCGCTTTACTGATCGTTCTATAAATCCAGACCACCGCAGCTGAAACGCAACATGTCATGCAACTCGACACTCATCACACAGATGTTCTTCTGCTATTCTATTCTAACCAGCTGCTCTCGCTCCTCAGAAGGAAAAAGAAAAAAAAAAGAAAAATATTACGGTTGAGCAGTGACATAATTTAATCTGCTTTATCCGTTGTTTCGTTGAGTATATCAGAGTATCGGCACACTGGAGCTCGACTGAGCTGCTGGGAGAAGATTGTGAAGTCACATAAACCAGATGGATTCAGATCGCTCCCCCGAGAATTTGCATTTTAAAAAAAAAATAAAGAAGAGAAGTTTGGTCTACTGTACTGGTGTTGGAACGCTGTATGATGTCACAGATACGTCCAGGGCTCACACCCACGCACACACATGTGCACGTATGCGGAAACGCACGCTCCCGGTGTCATGTCATGCACACGGGAATAACCGCGCAGACAGAGGACTGTGCTCTTAGTACAGGATTAACGCCGACTGATGCTCAAGTAGATTACTCAGCGTTCTCTGGTCACATGACGGCAACCTGCATGCCAGGCAGCAGCAGCGGAGCGGGTCATGAAGCGTGGCACTCCTCAGACTAATCGCTGGTTCATAACTAAATGAAATGGAAGCGACATCAGGGAGGAGGTTAAAGATCCTCTGCAGCCACAAAGTGCATTGATTCAGTTCTGCGATGCTTCGCTCTGAAGTAAGATGTTGAGGTTCGTTTCCATTCAGGGAGAGTTAAACCTGCATTTCACCAAATTTTAGAGTTTAGAGAAAAAAATTCTACTCCACCACATTGCTCTAGTTGCTCGCTATTTATTTATTTTTATAAATTCATACATTTTTTACACATGGTTCCACTTTTAATACGATGCGATGCAGCATATTTACCGAACAGTGCTACCAATACCAGCTACAACAAAAAAATCCTGCTTATAACATAATTTATAATAGTTAGAAATGTGTAATTCTGCACAGATTTAGTTTTAGAGTTTAATTACTTAAATATGCCATTTTTAATTCAGAATTTTTGTTGTAATTTAGTAAATTTATGCTGTCAATATAAACCCCAAGCAGTTTTTTTTGTGCTTCGGTTGCATTTTTACTCACTGTGTGCTCATTTTTCAAAGTCCTGCACTTTTAAGGAAACAACAGAAGCACAGCTAGAAGCAGAGGCAACTCAAAAACGCCCTCCGTGCACTATGACACAGTTGTGAAGCCATGAATCATAAAAAAACCCAAAATCACAACATTTCTTTGATTATTTGTTTTTCAAAAAATTGGAAAATCCCGATGATAACATGTCCCAACGTGTTTCTGACCCCAGATAAACAAATGGTGACTCATCATGTTAGATATATATTTTATCACCAACAGTTGTAGTTTGTTTCCACCTTTGTCTCCATGCAAACATCAGATCAGCCGAAAAGTCCCTGAACGCGTCATGTGACTGCTGGCTGCAGCTGAGTCATTAATTGATTCATAGTTGAACAGCAGAGAATCTTTAGTGGTTTATTTTACAAAACCTACTTATTGCAGCCTGTTTGGGGAGATTTTTATATAATACAGAACAATTAGACATGAGGAATAAAGTTGTTTTGTGGAAATATTGTGACCTTGAGCTTAGATTTGGTCGTCGATGAAACGTCACAGATGAGTCAACAGTCGGAAAGTTGAGTTTCTGGCTCTGATAAATTGGGTGATTTTGGTAATTCGTTGGAGACAAATTGTCTTTTAAACCCCCCCTGGTGGGTTTTGGGGATGAAAGGGTTAAGAGAGGTTCACCATATGACATTATAACGTACAGCATACGTGACATAATGCGCAGTTACATAACGCAGCATCCTCTCTCATTCCCCGTCACTTTCCTGCCTTCTATACGCTGCGAGCACCACATATAGCTTCTAAAATAATCAACCATATGTTTCTGTAATTACACCATAAAGAGAGGCGCCCCTCAGTGATCTCCAGATCTGGGACCATAAATCCTTCGGTGACGACGACCTTGTGGGCAAAGAGCATTCAGCATATGGAGCGAATGAAGCTATTTTTGGGGGAGATTCTCTATCGGATAAACAAATCTGGGAGATTTCAGAAGGAGGTGGTAGGCTCTCAGGAGGCCTCTGCCTCATGGAGGAGACTTGGAGGCATAAATCTGGTGCGAGGGCGCCCTCTTCTGGTGGAATTAAATTGGTATACAGGGCAGATTTTCTGAGTTTTACAACATGTTCAGACTAGTTTCTCAGCATGTATAAATTAAGATAAATGCTTTGGTGATTGTTGTGGGTTACAATACTTTAATACCTTGGAATGATGCAATCTTTTATATACGTGGGCCTTAAAAGCAAAGATTAATGCCCCGTGGCTAAAGGACATCTGAGATAGGGTTGGGCATCGGCCAATCAGGAGCTGAACGTGGTGGATCAGAGGGTATTTGTGGATTCTGGACATCACTCACCTGTATTTGCCGGTCCTGACTTGCACACCTCTCATTCCACAATGCTGGGCACCGCCTACGTCATTTAAGAGATCATCCCCGATCATGAGAGCCTAGAAAGCGAGAAGGGAAAAGAAAAAGTGGTTTAATGTGGCGCTGCCAGGAGAGGCTGCAGCGTTAACGTTCTGTCTACAGTCTGAACAGGTTCTGCTGACGACGCTTCGGACTTTTCTAAATGTGACATTTTCACTTAGAAATTTTTGTTGTAAAAAAAAAAATAGGTGACTCAACATACCGTATATATATATATATATATATTTAACTACATACATGTTTAGCTGTTTACATACTCGTGCCCTGGCTGCAGTTCAGTCGAAAAGCCTCTGAATTTTTTTGTCATGTGACTGCTGGTTGCAGCTGATGGCTTCATGGTTGCACAAAGGAGCGCAGAATTTTTTGTTTTTAACTAAATCTCATTATTGCAAGCACTTTACTGTTGGCAGATATTTGTTTTTTAAAGACATTTTTTGGCCTTTTTTGGCTTTATTTGATAGGACAGAGAGAAAGATGGGGGAAGGACCTGCAGCAGAGGGTCATGAGCGGGACTCGAACCCACGACCGCTGCTTCGGGGCCTATAGCCCCTGTAAATGGGACGCCAGCTCAATAAGTTGAGCTCTAGTGGCGCCCCCTGCTGGCAGATTTTTAAATAACACGTGTAGCATAAAGGCATTTTGGGAAATCTTAAGATTTTATGCTGAGATAACAGACGAGTAGTTCACTGACAGTTGGACAACACAATGATTCTTTCTGTTTTTAAAGTGGTGTACCAGCTTTATCTCTTGCTGACACCGGTGCATGTTGTGGCTGCATCGTTACAGTACGTATCTATATTGCGCCAAAAATGTCAGCAGTGATGTTCTAGATCTGTTTACCTCCCTTCTATTCAAGCTTCTCTTCCCAAACTGCTCAGCTGTCCTCTGCTCTGACTCAGGTGAACAAACGCTGCTCGGTAAGAAAAAAGCAGCAGATGGGGGGATAAGCGAGGAACAACCCGGAATAAGTGATCCGTAGATGTTTCCGCATAAATACAAGAAGAACAAAACGTCAGACGGGGGAGTTTGAGGAAGCAGTAATCTGTATTATCATCGGTAAAGGGCAAACAGAGGTAGGTTTCCTCTCAGTGTGAGTCCGGCCAAGGATTCCTCGGGGAAACCAGCGCACAATGACACCTTCAAACTGTGCCTGGTGAGGCAGAACGGCACTGGATGTTTATTTCATCAGTGCAGCAGGAGGAGGAGGATCAGGTTGGAGCTGGTCTGAGCTGGCAAAGAGAGGAACTCAAACACGGGAGGAGTGCGGTATCCACGGAGCGGGCCAGATTGGATCTAGTGCCGTGATATGAATCAGACTGTGAGAAGATGTTCCCTTGAATTTCATGAAGGAATGAAAGGAATGACATGAGGGAGTTTGAGGCGAGTGATTCAGCAGACTGGGAATTTCCACTTTTGGGAACAGAAGCCCGGGTGAGTAACTGGATGCTGCGGAGGAAGAGGGCAGCAGGGTGCAGCTGTGGGTAAATCCACGTCTCAGCGAAAAGCAATGAAAACCCACAGAACGGAGTTGACAGAGACGATGCCAACTTTTCTTTGAGTGTCAACTGCCAGGTCCAAAAATAGATGAGACACTGCAGGGATGGAGCCGATCCATTCACTCGGGATGAGCGGCAGACGCAAGGGACGCACTTCAAACACATGAACAGACACCTGCCGAGTGAAAAACACTCAACCAAGCAGGCAAAGTTCTGGCTTTTTCTCTGTGATGGGTTCCAGCGTTATCGTCCTTTCTGTTTGAATATATCAACCTGACAAGTAAAGAGTGTGTTCAGCTAGTTAGCTTCATGTGCAACAGGTGTCCATCTGGTAACACACTATATGTGTATTGATAAACGGGATATTTTTTTTTTTAAATGACACACATGATGTCATAAATAACGCAGCACCATTAAAACGTAGTCGGTGGTTTTAATTGACAATTTAAAGGCAGCAGATGTTTGACCTTGTGGATCTTTTGTTTATCAGTTGATCTATTATGACTGTAATTTGCTCTTTTTCTGGACCTTTGTTCAGTTGTGGTGACAAACTCTGTCCAAATAACTAACAGCCTAATCTATTTATGATTCCTAAACACTGAAAAGTCCGTCAATGTGTTGTGATAATCAGACATCCCAACAGCTGTGATGGAGCTCAGGACTCGAAATAATTCAACTGGAGCTGATGAACTGTGACAGAAAAATACCTCGTTAGACGCTGGGGGATCATTTATATCTATAAGTAATTAGTGAAGATGCTGCTGTTGCTCTACGTTCACTCGACTGCTGCTTTGGAGACGCTCGTATGAATCCTGTAGCTGTTTGATGCTGCAGGTATTTAACAAACTCAGAGGAAAGAATCCTGCAAACATCTGGAAGCAACCGACGACACCTAGATTACATGTATTAGTGGTGAGTCTCATTAACCTGTTAATGTGTCTAGATTGCACTAAAGTTGTATTTTCATTTCAGTTTGTAATAGATGTGACTTTGCAGTGCTCGCTCTGATGTTTTTGGACCAACTTTGGTGCTGAAATAATAATAAAAACTCAAACCACATTGCGACTGCCTGAACGCCACAGTCTGCAGCTCAGAGTTTTGAAACATTAGTCGGTCCAACCTGGGGAAACGACCTTCACGGCTTTTATGGGAAAGTCTGCAGGGCGCTCATTCAGACATGAAGCCAACCCGTCCTGATGCTGTCAGAACAACTCGTCTGTGATCACGCACCTCATGTGGCTGAAGCCCCATGTCGTTGAGAACAGTCTGGAAGAACGTTGGCGACGGCTTTCCGATCACTTCAGCCTTCAAATCACAGGCGTACTGGAGGAAAAACAAGAAGATAATCAGCAACAGTTCATGTATTCAGAAGCGGTGTCGTGAATTTTCAATAAATATACCGAATTGTACACCTACGTTACCTCCAGAGCCTTCATGTAAACGCCGACGTCTAGCTTCAACCCATCCGTCTCCTTGTAGTACCTCCTGTGAGGAGAGGAAATAAACAACAACATGATAATGAAAACTGATTGGGGATGGGTATCGGTGGTACTGATTCTGGTTATCAGTCCAGCACTTTAACAGCATTCTTACTGGTACTTTTTGACTGTTTGCTTTTTAAAGACAAAAAAACAAAACAAAAAAAGAACAGAATAAAGATTGCTTCATTTTCTCATATGTACTGTATTTAATAAAATGTATACAGACATTAATGTTGTGTTGATGGATGATCAGAGCCACAGATTCACAGGTTTTACCCACAAACTAAAACCTTATGCAGTGTGTTTCATTTAACAGTGAAAATCAAGTCAGACAGAGTTCATCTACGGCCCTAAACTCACTAAATCCTGCTGCTCTGTGCTCTGAAAGTGAAACTAACATCCTAAAACGACAGATCATGACGATGCTCTACATTTCACACTGAATTTCCAACCACCAAACGAGAGGAGAATGATCCGTTACCCTTGGCCCAGAGAGAACAGCACCGGCTTCTCCAGACCTATGAGGACCCTGAACGCCTCGTTCAAGTTCTGGTAGGAAAAGTTTTCGGCTGCATCTCCAACGATCACGCAGTTCGGGCTGGTTTTGTCCACGCTGTCGAACTCGGGGAGAAGTCCTGCAGAGGGCACAGTTTATGATTCAACACAGATATCTAATACGCTGCATCTGGACGCACGGCCTGCAGATGTGTCAACAGATTCTACGGCACTTGTTGTGAGTGCAGTCCTCGAACGCACTCTGAAAACGCTGGTGTGAGTGGATGACACTGCCATCCAGCTGAGTGCTTTACATGCATTATGCAAAGTGTAAACGGGTGAGGATTATTAAATTAAAGTGGAGTTTTGACAAAAGAAAAGCATTACCATCGTGCACCAGCAGGTGAGGCCGTAAGCCCCTCTCCTTGAGGACTGCTACGGCTGCAGGAGCAGGTGGGAAGACTTCAGACACACAGATATCAAAGCCCAGCCTCTGCAGCTTGGCTACAAACTTCTCTCTGGTGGCCTGGGTCTCGTTGGTGCAGAAGCGCAGCTGCAGGTCGGATTCTTTGAGCCTTTCAGTGGTGTTAAGAGGTCAGATTGAGATTTTTTTAGCAAAACAGTAACAGCTCTCACACTGCTCACGAATACAGTAAAGGCTCTTAAACACATGCACAGATGCTCTTATAGGCTCTGAAACACGCATAAAGTAGTGCATGTGGAACTGGTGCACTTTGCTCCACAGGATCTGACAGCCATGCAAGCTGAATTTACTATTTTTTTTCTCATGCATCTCGTAAAAGACTCACTCACCTCCTCACAGCCTCGATGGAGCCCCGTATGGCCACCCCGTCGCCCTCCCCGCTGTCGTACAAAACTCCGCACAAGTCCAAAATCACACCTTTCAAACTCCTCGCGCAGCCCGGCCAGCCCGTGTCAGCCATGGCGGAGAGCCCACTGCGCATGCGCGCAACGGGAGGCGGCCCGTCGGTCCGTCACGTGGTTCATTATTAGTTCACGTAGTGCCTGTTTGGGTTGCAATTATGTAATAGTCTGACTGAAAAACCTGCTGGGTTATAAATTAAGCCAACTTTAAAGCCGAGCCAACACAGAACACAGACTGGATTACTACCACCATTAAATTAGTGTCCTCCAGAAATGTTTAATCACAGGCTGCAAGATGAGGCCACAGGAAGTCCCTGAACCTCAAGTGTTTTTCAGGAATATTATTATGATGTCAATATGAAAAGTAAAAATCACACACTAATGTACTTTGGTTTCCTATTTCACAGTGAAGGGCACTAATTATCAATGCACGTGGACATTAAAGGTTTTTTAGGGTATTAAAGTGTCCATGAGATGCTGCAGTGTATTTGAATGGAAAAACTAAAAGCAAGACATGCAGGGTTAATTTAGGATTTCATTATTAAAAGTTCTGCGATGTGAGATGATGTCTGACTACAACGAACTACTCGTTGCTGTATTTTGATGACGTGTAACGCATCCATATGCACAATAATGCTGCTTTAAACATCCTGCTGGGAATTTAATGTAAAAAAAAATAATTCCATCATAAGAAAACTTGATATGACTGAAAACTATTTTGACTTTACCAAACGGGTCAGACTTTCACAGTGAAATAATAACCGACTGTGGCAGCAAATGATTTAACAGCGGCTGTAAAACTGACAGCTTGTTTGATTATACGTCACATTTCTAATTTCCTGTAAAGTCAGTTTTATCTGTTAAGTAATTATTGTTATTATGATTAATGTTATCACATAAACGTATAGGGGACAATGAGACAGGAAATAACCCAGTTTTTGACCCAACAAAAGCGTTAAGGTGTCTCACTTGGTTGGGTTGAATGAACAACCCAACATTCTGGGTCAAATTGTAAAATTCAACCCAGCGTTGAAAGTTGGATTGTTCTTTCACCCAGCTCTTTTATAAGTGTTTATTCACATTCTGTCACCATTATATAATATATTTTTTAAGCTTGACTGAAACTGCTGAACAGTTCACCTTTGTAACCGTTGTCCGTTAACCCAATCCAAACACTGAAATTTAATTTTGTGCATAACGGCAGCTCTACAGACGCTCACAGAAGCTTTAATACTAACAAATCCACCATATGTACCTGGAATCTGTGCAGCAGACTGTGAGATGTGTAGAAGGACAGAGAACGTAATTTAATTTCAGATCCATGTGTGTAAATGTGCTTATTGCTCTCAGCTCATTGTTTCTGCTGCTGCGCCTATTTAGTAAAACCATAGATAAGAATCTGACACAGAGCCAGATGTGGGCAGCAAATAGGACATCAAGTCCAGTTATTTATGTAGCACAGTCAAAGCAACAGCTGTTGAGCTAAAGTGCTTTTCAGAAGAGAAATGATGATGCTAATTTAAGTTTGAGTTTTATGGTTAAGACAAGCCAAAATGAATCCATGCGTTCTGTATGAGGAGGCATAATTAGGACAGCAGTGAGGAAGAACTCCTCTTCATAGGAACAAACCTTCAGTAGAACCAGAATCATTGGGGGCAACCATCTGCCTCGACGAGTTTAGGTAAGGCGGAGACAGAAAAGGAGAGAAGACAAAACTGGACAGATTAGTTGGACTAGTTGCTGCAGGGCAGACCCGTGCATTGGGTGTTTGTCTTCTAAATCCCACGCGGAGAACATTATTGCAAGATTCAAGCATGTTTCAGATCTGTCTGAGCCACATTAGTGGCTGTGTCATTCCCAGGCAGGTCAATATGTTATGTAATAGGCTACCTGTCTGTGGCATGGGGTTACCTGGACACAAGCCAGGGCTCGATCTACAATGGCTGGGTCGCCTGGGTGACGGTGGGATGTTCAAACACCCGATGATCCCAGGAAGCATCGCTGACAACGGGTCCAGGTGCATCAACATGACACATACCATGCTAAAAGAGATACAATAGATAGCTCACAAAAATAATAATAATGACAATAAAATGTAACTTTTAAAATGGAGTTTATACATATATATATTTATAAAATATTAAAATAGACAACAGGAATTTGTTGAGGGCAATAGTGCTGTAGTGCAGCTGCAACATCACAATGTATAACAACACATACAATGAAAACAATACAATATAATTAAAAAAAAAAAAACAAGCCTGCAACGCATGGTGCACAATTATACATGCAATAATACATAACACACATTTAAGTAGTCATCTACATCAGAAGCACACACTGGACTATAGCACATGCCACATAAATAAATAAGATAAACACCACATGCTAGAATTATTTTAGATTTTCAAAAAAGCATATCTGTAGTGCAGCTTTAGTGGGAGTTGACGAGGCTGGATGAGACAGCAATAAAACATTAAAAGATGACAATATAACGTGAGTGAAGCCAGTAAATAATTAAAAAGGAAAAAAACAAAACTTTAGGAAATAAATCAAAAATTACCCAAATGCATGTTTGTACAGGTGACAGCTTGACGCCTCCCTGCTGCACACAAACACTCAAACTGCACACATTGTGTAACAATCTCTGTGCAGCCATGTGAAGAAAAGCTGTGTTCACTGTAAAAAACAGTGCCTGTAATATATCCATAAGCTGCTGTTTCATGGGCACAAATCAAGTGTACAACGTGGCTTTCCCAGAACAAACAGAAATACATTTAAGATGAGTCAGAAACAGCAATTCCCACTGACAGGGATCATAAAAGGAGGACGTGTTTCACATATTTTTAACTGCATATTTGAGGGGTAGGGTTCAGACAAAGAATGAGATTTTAAAAAAGAAGAAGAAAGAAAGAAAAGAAAAGCCAGAAAAATCAAAAGATAACGCTCCTCGGGTTTGATTGGTGCAATTACTGGAAAATGTTACACCATCGAGGCGTGCCCTCTGACGTCATCACGCACGTTGACGCTCGCACGTGCACACCCCAGACGGTCATATAAGACGCACCGGAACCGCCTGGATCAAATATCAGACCGGACAGACAGCGACTGGCTTTCCAGGAGGATTCTGCCACCACTCCCGTTTGTTTCTGGTACTGTTTTCACTTTATTGTATTTTCTTTTATTTAAAAAAATAAATGTCGTTAAATGAATGAAGGCTGCGAGGAAACTTGGCCGCTAAGTATGCTAATATTAGCTAGCCGTCCGTTATTACTGGAAGCGACGCAGTCCTGTTATTGATCTTAAAGCGTGTTGCACTCTTTGGACATGAGGAAACGTTATTTTATGCCGACTGGCTGACAAATATCTGAATTAAACAGCCACTGACACCGTTTTTTGTGTATAATGAAAGACTATAAATAGTCATGTTGCTCCATCATCTGTTATATAATGCAGGATAGTTTGGCAGAGCTCGTCTCTATCATCTGAATGGAACTGAAGCTTTAGGTCCCTATTTAGCTCCAGGCGGTGGGTGTGTGTGGAGGCAGCTCCCCAGCAACCTATCAACTCCCTGGAAGACTTTTATTGGTGACTGATTGGCACATCAGCAGCAGCTGCACTGTCCTTGATGAAGCTGCTGTGTGTTTGCTGTGTGTGTTTAGTCACTGCAACAGGTTCATATCTGATCTTCACATGTGGTTTTTTTCCCCCATTCAGCTGGTACATTTCCACACTGCTGTCATTTTGCAAAAAAAAAAAAGTTAAGGAGTTTTTGCAGACTACAATGACTTCTGTTACCCAGAACAGCTGGCGTTCAGGCTCAAATAGTCAACCTGACTTGCCAAGTTTCCAACTCATTAAAATGCAAAAAGTAAAGCTAAAGCCACCTCAAAAGCATCTGCATAAAAAAGGCTAACCTGCTGTTTTAGCAAATATGCAAGCAAGGACAAGAAGTAGACGTTACAAGTTTTTTTATGTTTTAAAAGAATAGAAAAGTCTGGAACGCCACAGTTCAGCTACGGGGCTGCTGCTGCTGCTGTGGGATTATCTATTGTCACCCGGCATCCAGCCAAAGTCTGCTCCCCCATTGTGTCGATTTTAAAAGAGAACCGTTGTTCAGCAGACCTGTGACGCCTGTGTGATTCGTGGAATCTCACATTGCAGTATAGTAGCCCACAAGGTCCAATCCACGTTGCCACGTTTCTGTGTTGGTACATGCTGTTGTGCGTTGGTGAAACCGACGCTCCTGCCAAATGAAACCGGATAATTAAGTTTAGAATCTGGTTCCATGATTGTGTTTAGTCTTGATTTATTGGGGGTGTGCCGGGGGGATGGTTACAGACGCCAAAATACGGAAACAAACTTTGATTCAAATATGGTTCTTGGATACGAGTTGTATTTTCAGTGGAAGTCACAATGCTTTGCTTTGTTTTTCATTTGTTAGTTTTCAAAATCTTCAGACGTCAGTGTGTTTGCGTGACCGAAAATAGTTTCTCATGTACAAAAGTTCCTGCGTTTAGGACTGGCAGAAATCCAGTTACTGTTATTGATCTGGATTTGTCTAAAGTCTGACACGAAGACATATTACTGTTCCAAATACTGGAATTTGGTCTTGTTGATCAATAATGACGCCAAATCCTTTCGTATTTTTATCTGATTCTTGGCTTCTGTCGTCGTGTTGGTTATTTTTCATCCAACCCAATAGTTAAAGTGTTACCGCTGCTTCATCTAAAAACTGCAAAGGAAAATTCCTGTTTCAGCCTTTACTATTTTGTTTTGTGCCTTCACTAAAGATGATTAATAGAGAGTGTTTTCTGGAATAACCAAAAATAGTTTTATCTTAAAATTGATAAAAATGCATGGTGTAATTCCCCATGAGACTATTGAAATTCCACGCTTTAGTCGACCAACTGTCCAGAAGATGTTCAGTTTGCTCTAAAGTGAGATGAACAGTAACATGAAATCCTCACTTTGTGAAGGTGAGAGCAGCAAATGATCCCCTTTTCTGCTTGAAAAGATTCAATTTTTAATCAAAGTTAAAATTGAACTTTTACAGTTTTGTAAAACATCACTTCCTGCTTGACAATAAAGAACCCTATTTGTTATCAGAAACTGATGCCATCTGACTCGTCCTGTCTTTGTGTGTGCCCGAGCAGACGTAGCACACGGTATACACCATGAAGGGAATGATTCTCCAGCTCAGCCGCGGCCTGAGCCGCGCTGCACCCGTTTTCCACCGGAGCATCCACTCCGGTACACGTCCTGCCTGCACCGCCGCATCCAAACACAGGGCCGATCGCCCGCTCACCTCGGAGGAAATCTACGCCCGTGAGGAGAAATATGGAGCACACAACTACCACCCCCTGCCTGTGGCCTTAGAGAGAGGAGAGGGTGAGTTCAGAGCATCAGGTTACTTCTAAAGCTAATCGTGTGTAAGGTGAAGTGATATGCCTATAAATATTCATGCATCATCATCAAAACATCCCAAATCCTTGTGCTCCAGGCATCCATGTGTGGGATGTGGAGGGCAGCCGGTATTATGACTTCCTCAGCGCTTACAGTGCAGTCAACCAGGGACACTGTCACCCCAAGATCATCGCTGCCCTCACTGCCCAGGCGTCCAAACTGTCCCTGACTTCCAGAGCGTTCTACAACGACGTGCTGGGAGTCTACGAGGAGTACATCACCAACCTGTTTGGCTATGACAAAGTTTTACCCATGAACACAGGTAACACGAGACGCTGATTGGAGGAAGGATCTCCGGCGGTTAACGGGAGCGGATTTGTTGACATTTGTTTTCTGTCGTGACAAATTAGGCGTCGAAGGAGGCGAGACTGCCTGCAAGCTCGCTCGCAAGTGGGCTTACAATGTAAAGGGGGTTCCCAAAAACAAGGCCAAAATCATTTTTGCAGGTAAGTCACCATCTTATGTTTAAAACAAACAAACAAAACCTACATCACAGTTTGTTCCATTTGTCACCTCACCTGATTTTAAAACAGATTTTCATCAGATCATTTAGTCAAAAAAAATACCTCTGTACTGAGGCAACACAGTTCAACAGCCCTCAGAAACCAGCAAAGGTGTCTCAAGAACTACCACACATAATAGAACAATTCTGCAATAAGGTACCCAACATTTCTAGAACAGCAGTCCTTCCAGCTGATAAAGGATGAAGTGAGCAACGAGCTAAACCAGTTCTTCATGACTGCAAATCAGATATTTCTCATGTTACATATTTTGTAAAGAAATGCCCGGAGGATAACACGACAAACTTCTTATTTCCTCTTGTTTGATCAGATGGAAACTTCTGGGGCCGCACCATGGCAGCCATCTCCAGCTCCACTGACCCCAGCAGCTACGAAGGTTTCGGTCCCTTCATGCCAGGCTTCGAGCTTGTTCCCTACAATGACATTCCAGCATTGGAGGTACAGGTTTAGACTGCAGCTTCGACACGCTCACTACATTATCTATTGTGCTGCTGAAGGACAGTGCGGTGAAGGTGTGGCAAGGCAAGGCTTCCTTAGGTTTGGTTCAACCCAGCTGTCAAACTGCCAGACAAACATTTCAAGTTCCAGTCACTGCATACCAGACTTTTTTTTACAGCTCTTATCTGCGTAAAGTACACGTTTCAATCTCAACTGGGAGACTCACAGTCAAATTACAGGTTTTGTTGAGAAGCAGTGACTGTGAGAAAGACTCTCCAAACCCAGCTACCCTCAATGTAAGGACCAAAGGCCTGCTGACGTTGCATGTGTCTGCTGATAAGGTTATCTTTTCACGTGCTCCTTTTCTATGTAAACAGAAGTATTTAGTTATCTTGGACACAGATAAAAAACATATTTTCCCCTCCCTATGTTTCCAGAAAGCCCTACAAGACCAAAATGTTGCAGCGTTCATGGTGGAGCCCATCCAGGGGGAAGCTGGTGTGGTGGTGCCTGACCACGGCTACCTGACGAAAGTCAGAGAACTTTGCACAAAATATAACGTAAGTCTGGATCGAGTTATAGATCCACACACAGGTGAAATGTCTCGAGTGTACTGGCCGCCTCAAAATTAAACAACAGTTTAGTTTGCTCGTAATAAAACACAACAGTATGTTTGAATTAATTTCCTGTAATCGATGCTTCGGTGATTTATGGTTGAACTCTGCGCCTCCTGTTTAATGGATATGAGGACGACAATGTTGACATCAAACAGCAGTCGTTCAGTTAAGGCAGAGCACAACAAACAAAGTGTTGGAGTCCTTTTTTAGCTGGTTGAGAGCAGCGCTAGGTGTCAGAATACACTGTGTGTCAAACCGCCCTGTCTGGACGCCAAAGACTTTTCTGGGAACACGACTGCAGTTTAAAAATCGTCAGGCTTTCATCCTGCAGCGTCGTAAACAAGTGCACATTATTCTTATGCACGGCTCCTGAGGTTTGTTTGCACAGTTTACCAGCAGCGTTAATCGATGCACAGATTATTTAATCTGATGTAAAAATGTATAAAAGCTCAGTAGATAGCCTGTGCTTCAGAAGAAGAGGAAAGGTTTAAGTTGATTATGTCAAGTGAAGAGCAGCAAAGTTATGATGTGCCAAAGCAGCCATGTCCATCCTGTCCAGCTAAAGTTATTACTGTCACAACAAATTATACTTTCATAGCAAAATTCTGCAAATGTGACGGTACATGTTTGGTTTTTTTAATGGCACCATAGACGCCATATGTGACATGAAAACCCAAGAGCTGTAAATGGATTTATTTCAGCATTTGAGTCAGACGATGGGAGAAAGTTCAGGACCCCTTAGAGGCGTTATGCAAACCGGGTCGCACGGCGTTCTGAACAACTGAAGTAAACACCTAAAACTCGCAGCTCAAAGACAGACACCCGATCTGTGCACAGAATTCAAGGTGAGCCGGGTTCAGTTCTGTAACGCCGACACCCTGAAGTCTCACTGTTTGTACTGTATTGTTGGTGAACAGCTGCATCTGCTTTAGCTTCACACGCAACTTTTACAAAGGCAAATGTTAGCGAGAGCTCATCATGTGACCTCAGTGCTGCTACTGACGGCAGGCTGCAGTCACACTGGTGTGTTAGTGTGTGCATCCCGACAGTCCAGATCCTGTACGTCCTCTCCTTTGTGCTAATCATCGATCGTTAGTATGTAGGAGAGTATGAGAACTTGTAGCAGCTGCAAAATGCTCTTTTTATTTAGGAGATTTTACCTTTCTTTTCAGTGTTTACCTTCCTGTGTCAGTTATACAGAGAAGTAATGCACCCTTTTTCAAATGTAATATATTGTAAAACAATTTTTTTCCCTTTTTAAAATGTCATTGACTGTTTAAATTTGTCTCCTTCCTTAACGTTATGTTCACACTGAAAAACAGTGTCTAAAAGCTACTTACAGCTTTGCACAATAGTAAATAATGTAGGCAGATAGATTTTATTTTTATACCTATGAATCCAAACTAAAATAAACCGTAGTATATGGTTCACGGGTTTTACAGTTAATATTAAAGTTCTTTATGGTCTGTCCAGGTGTTGTGGATCGCCGATGAGGTGCAGACAGGTTTGGCCCGAACCGGCCGGCGGTTGGCTGTGGACCACGAGGAAGCTCGTCCAGACCTGGTGATTCTGGGCAAAGCTCTGTCTGGAGGAGTTTACCCTGTAAGCATCTTTTTTTAGATGGTATAGATCAGAGTAGTTGTGCATTGTTCACCTTTGCTTCAGCTGATCTGTGCTCGTCTGGGTCAGGTGTCTGCTGTGCTGTGCGACGATGAGATCATGTTGACCATCAAGCCCGGCGAGCACGGCTCCACGTATGGAGGGAACCCGGTGGCCTGTCGGGTCGCTATCGCTGCGCTTCAGGTCGGTGTTGAAGCACTCGGCTTTACCTCGTTTGTCCCTCTTAACAAGAAACTGTAGATAAAAGTGAAAAGAATGTTAAAGTTTTAAAGATGATTTAACATCAAAAGGAATTATCATAAGTTCTGTTTTGTTTTACTCTTACTGATGTTATTTGCAGGTGCTGGAGGAAGAGAAGCTGGCAGAGAACGCTCAGAAGATGGGAGAGCTGCTGCGGTCTGAGCTCAGCAAACTGCCCAAAGACATCGTGACAACAGTGAGAGGGAAAGGCCTCCTGAACGCCGTCGTCATCAAAGAGACCAAAGGTACAATAGCATTAGCTGACATAAAAAAAAGCGGCTCCATGCTAAAACACGTCTAATGATTTTGGATCATTGAATCCGAAGGTGTGAAGATAAATGACCGTCTGTCTGACTTTGGAGATCAGAGTGTCAGTAGTTTGACCAATGGGGTCACATGAGTTCTGAACCCTCTGAACCCACAGCAGTTTCCTGATGCTTTCCTTGCTCCTGTTACACTTTTATTCACTTTAGGCTAATTTTAAGCTGCAATATCACCTCCATGGAAACGGCACAACCATGGCTGGAAGCAGAGAGAACTCGCAAATGGCTTTTTGTGCATATCTCAAAATTATAATGCCATAAACACAAAAGAAAAAAACAAAACTTAATTTCTTTGAGTTTTTTTAATGTAAAAAAAAATCAAATGGAACCGACATGTGCAGTGTTTTTCAGGTGCCCCCAGGGTCTCTACATTTATAGATATTTTCAGAATGCATAATTAGTTTTTTTTCTATGCTTGTCTTGCTTTACACCTTCCAGCCTGCAGTTCAGCCATAAAGTCCCTCAGTTGTTGTCATGTGGTCACAGAATCTTGTTTGTTTTTGTTTTTTGACAGAATCTGGTTCATGCAAACAGTTCATTTTTGGCAGATTTTGAAAAGCGACAAGAAAAATAAAGTGATAACATAAAAATGTTGAGCTTAGATTTGAGTCATTTTCCAGACTGAACAGCTGAGTAGTTCAAGGAGCACTGGATCGCTGAAAACCTGCCGATTCGTTCTAGTTTCTGGCTCAGATAAATGGTTTTTAGATAACAAGCCTTTCAATCCCACCCATTAGTTCTGAGGTTCAGAGAGTTGAATTTGATTTTATATCGAGTCGGCCGGTGACGCAGCTTTTGCATTCGTCATCATCTAGACATCGAAATGAAGAAATTAAATGTGAGCCGTGCAATAATTAGCCTTCACCCGACAGCCTAACCTATTTTACAACGATCTCCCCAGACTATGACGCCTGGAAGGTGTGCCTACGTCTCCGTGACAGCGGACTGCTGGCCAAGCCCACCCACGGCGACATCATCCGCCTGGCCCCGCCCCTCATCATCAAAGAGCACGAGCTGCGAGAATGCATCGACATCATCCAGAGGACCATCCTGTCCTTCTAAGCTGCAGCATTTCAGCAACTCAACCATATACCCAAACCCATCAAACTAGAGAAAAAGCCTCGCTAAACATTCATTAGGAGCTTTTGTTATAATTTAAAATGTTTTTTTTTTTTTTTTTTCACGTGAAGTGGATGTTTAGAGGGAATTACTGTAAACGGGCAGTGCACAGATGCTGTGAACGGATCGAGCTTCTACGAGGATACACTTTTGTACAGGGAAAACTGCTGTAAAGACAAAGGGTGCCGTTAGGCTGCCTCAGGAAAGACTCCCAACACATATCATGTTCGGAAGTGTTTAATTTACCACTGGTGATGTGCGATGTAAATAATAAATGCGTTGTCTTCAATGAAATCTTTGCAGTTTTCTAGAAAGTTAAGCAAGCAGCTTAAAGTTGCATTTCATTTTCTTTCAACAAATTTCAACGCCCACAGCACTTTCATGACACAGTTTAAGTTTGTCAGGCCACCAATGGTCTACTGGTGTAAACCTTGTGGAACTACTGTTGCGTAAATGGTCAGGTTAACCTCGGTTTGTTTAATCTCGAGAGTGGACTTTCTTGAATTTAATTTAAAGTTTTCAGATTCCATGTCTTAAAGATTTCATTCAAAAAAAAAAAAAGAAAAGCCCATAACTACATTTGCAGTTCTGAAAGGTCAAGTAGTTTCCTTTCTGTAATCGAGTCGAGCAGATACTGTCCGGAGCTGTTTCACTGTAATTTTACACAAGTTAGGATGTTTGTTACTGTGAAAGAAATGCTGTTAGACAACCGTATTCCTCAAGGAGCGTAAATCTTGAAGCAGTAAAGATTAATCTTTGCTTGTTACACTGAATATTTTGGTATATACAATGAAAATGAGAAAAAAAATCTCTTTAAACAATAAGGAATGGCTGTTGTTTATAGGAATCATGCTGCCAACGTAGGCTGGCTTGGTTTGAAGTATTTTTTTTTGCTGTATGTATTTAAAGATTGTCTTCACCGGCACAGTATCACCTTTGAAGTTGTTACAAAACCCATTGTTCTTCAAAATAAATTATTCCAGTCTTATCTCTTGTCTCGCTGTTTATCTGAACTAGAAACCAAAAAGTAATTTGGAGCGTGTGGAAGCAGGTTCACTGAGTCATCGCGGTAACTTTTGCTGATTAAAATCTGACGAAAACAAAAAACTTTTCTGGACCGCGCTTCCTTTGTAACTCAGTAAATGAGTCTTTTTACTGGAACGTTCAAAGTAAATGCAAAACAGATCTCTTTCCTTGAACTTCTTCTTTCATGCTTGTTAGAGGTTTCAGTTTTGACTGCACACGTGTCCAGACAACTCATCTAACCTGCTGTTTAGTGAAGACGGCCCAGAAGATCAGATGCATAGACGTGGCCTGTGGTCTGCTTTGGCATCACCATTCAATCAACCTACTGGGACAAAAAAAATCCTGCATCATGGTGAGATTTTGCATTTACTGTCCTGCGTTTGTTCCATTAGTTTGCAGTGGTTGCAGGTCTGACACTAGATGGCGCTGTGCCACTACTGTCATAAAAACTCAGGGTCATGGAGTGGTGAAAAGAAGCAGCATAAGCACTCACTTATCATGCAGGTGGTTAATGCAAAGCTTGCAATAGCAGGAGGAAATGTTGAGATAAGATGCTGAGGCTTCACTGCAGATATAATTACGGCCCTGCTGACAAATATAGGTATCTGGCCTCCGCGTGACACTTAGACACACTTCCACAGGCACAGATGATCCATCTTTCCGCCTGTCTCGCAAACCTCCAGACCAGCAGCACACTGGGACTTCCACTGACAGAGACTTGACATAATTGACACTTGTCACGCCAAGGAGACAACATATTTTGAATTCGATCTTGCGGCAACAACCTCAAGCGAGTTGACAGAGTCGGTCTTTCCGCCTCCCCCGAGTGCTGACCTCCACACATCCTGCTGCATAGATTGCATCCACATGACAGTAGCATCATAAACATGGCATCAGCTGAAGATGTCATCGTATACACACATATTAGTCGATGCATTCTAATATTTGACCTTCATGCAGAGCTACAAGTTTTGTATTTAGGGACTTTACAGGAAACCCTCATTGAATTACTGCAGAATAACAAAGTCATTAGTCAGCGATGACTGAGCTCATCATTTTCACCATTTAAAACCAGGAGAGCTGCTCAGAAAAAAAGAAAAGCTGCGAGAGACAGCAGGTCTCTCTTTGAAACACGCATAACAAAGCATAATGCATGCAGTTACAGATCAATAAAATCCACTCTAATTAATTTTATACTTTGCACATTAATGGAGTTCTCCCGGCGAGCTCCTCTTCAGATGCTTTGTACTGAGTGCAGTTTTTGGGAACTGTATTTCATTCATGCAACACCTGAATAATGTTTTTTTTACTGGGAACACATTGCTTGGCATATAATTGCACTGATTCTCTGCTGGAAGCTCCGCACTACTAGTGACCAACAGGTGTGTTGTGTTTATCTTTTATGTCTGGAAATTGACTCCACAACCATTTAATATATTTTTACAGTGTTTTCAACCACATCTCACGGTCTACCCAACATAGCATGTATCCATCCATCCATTCATTCACTTTCTTAGTTTATCCACGTTTGGGTTGTGGTGGCATCCAGCTAACCAGCAACGCTCACTAGTTTCTCTGAGGGGATCCTGAGGCGTTCCCAAGGCTCTCCTCCCAGTCTGATGTGACCAGAAAGCCTTCAAACGGAGGTGGCCAGGACACATCCTAATCAGATGTCCAGACACCTCATCTGGATGTTTTCAACAATAAGGATTCTTCTCTAACCTCTCCCCCCATGAAGAATGGACGCCGTATTCATTCTTGTGATCCTGGGAGTTATTTTGTCAGGGGAAGATCCCTGGTAGGCCCTGTGATGGACTGGTGACCTGTAAGTCAGCTGGGATAGACTCCAGTCCTCTTGTGACCCTACAGAGGATAAAGCGGTGTATAGATAATGGATGGATGGAATCCACTAGTAGAGCCTTCCACGCTAAATTGGTCCTAAATTGGGGAGGAACCAGACTAAGAGTGATTCAAACACCTCAGTGAATCAAGGAGTACCGTAGTCTTGCCTGGAATATGGAGACTGGGGTCCTGTTCTGGAGCCAGATCCAGGAGGGGAGCTCACCAGTGAGTGGCCAAGCCTTGACCAATAGGCCGAACAAGCTCCATGGGATCATCGCCCAGTGGGTCCACTACCTGCAGGGACAGGCGCTGGGCTTGGCCATGCTGAGCCCTGACTTGTAAATAAATAGGAATACTTTCCACCACTGGCTCCAAGCTCTCGTAACCTTCTCTTACATTCAGGCCACCACCTAATGATCGGGTTTTATTAGCCGCAAGGTCAAAGCGGGGCGACATAGCAGTGCAATCTAGGACAGGTCATTATTTCATACGGAGCCGAGGGATGAGCGGGGGCCCGGCGTTTGCTTGTGAAATATGAGTGGAATCCAGTTTGGCAGGAGAAATGAGGGTTATCACTGGGTGACACTGAGAAATGTGCAGACTTTGATCCTACACTCCGCTGAGACCTGCATCCTACTCAGCTATGGTACGAAGGCATACCGTATTCCACAAATGGGCTCCAGTTTTGGCAGGGGAGTGACAGGCCACAGGCTCAGGGAGGATCTGGGAACGAAGCAGCAGGTCCAGGCCTCCGATAAGGCTTTGACAGCCTCAGCCAAACCTAAAGACGCTTGTGTAAAGCTACTTGATTTTCCCTGTCACAAACACACACACACACATGGTGCCAACAGCGAGCCTGGTCCATTTGAGCATGTGGTGCAAGTCTGGGTTCAAAGCCGGGTGTGTGTTCCATCACAATTCCTCACACCAAGAGGGTCAAGAGAGACTCATCCAGACTGGATGGCTGCTCTCATTCCACTCTTTCAGCTCTTTGTTCCTCACCTCCTCTTTGTCATTCCTCTTTTTTTTTTTCCTGTCTCTCCATCTGACTTTCTTTTAATTCGTTATCTCTTCTCCCCGTGCCCCTGCTCCCTTTCTCTCTCTCTCTCTCTCTCTCTCTCAGCCGGCCCATTTGTATTCGTTCCTTACATAATGGAGAAATCAGATTGTGGTACTTAGCGAGGATGTAATCAAAGTACTGTGCCTGAAATTTAATTCAGGTAAAGTTGCAGTTAAGAAGAGGATAAATTATAAAGCTCTGTATCCATTAAATGTGCGAAGAATAAGGTGCCAGCTTGAGAATTATGACTGATGCAGTACTGGAACAGGATAAGCTATTCATTTTTCCTTTGCCACTACAGATAAATCAGAGAAAAAACGTTGGACTCGCCTGCCAGTTCTCATATTAATGGGCCTTTTGCATTAGGTTTATGACATCTGAGTGCACTGATAAAATACATGTGCATCTCAAAGGGCAAATGACACATAATCCTTAAGGAGTAATGTGCACTGACCATTTTTCTGTTACACCACGTGCCTCTTGTAGTTCACACCAGAGGGGATATATATATTGATCAAGCATGGCAAGGTCCTCAGAAGGACGCGTCCCTCCCCGCAGACCCGAGGCACACTTGGCAAGTGTGACTCTCAGACCAATCGTTTTAGTTGTCACACCCTCACCTGATTTATTTCTGGATCGCTGTGCAGCCCCCTAAGAATCTTTAAAAAGCCAAGCACACTTGTAGAAGTCTCGCAGCACACCAGACCTTTGGAGTTTTCTCAAGCAAACAACACATCACGGGTGCCATGCACACAAAGAAGTGTCATCTGAACAAGAAATTATACATACAACCGACTACATATTTATGAAATGCAACAAAACTTCAGCTTCGGTTAGATGCTGATGCAATTTTCACATCACATAAAAATTAGATTACGAGGGTAAATATGAGACACGTTCGCCGCAAATAAATTTGTGTATCCGTGTGTGACAGAAATGAATCACAGAGGTGAGATATCAGATTCAGATTTGAATACAGCTTCACTTGTCGCGGCGGATTTTCTCTGCCTAAGTGACAAATAACCAGAGTTTAAATCTTTATTGAAAGATTTAAACTTTACGAGCAAGTGAAGCCACTTGGACGGCATGCCAAATGCTTTCACAAGTCTTTTTTTTAAAAGGTAATTTACCTGTCCCCATTCTAATTCATTTAGGACGAGACAAACTGACAGACATCACTGCAGACAGCATACATCAAACACAGGAAAGAGGACTTCTGTGTGCATCTCAGCGTCCTGTGGTTCTGCATGCAAACCGCCTGCCAGTAACTCCAGAGGAGGATGACTCATCTACCTGTTGTTCACTTCTCTGGGCATCCTCTCTTCACTTTCCATTAGAAAAATAAATTTGATTACAAATTCATTTAATTCTATTATCCACAGCCGGGAACATTGCTTTCTGAGTTTTTTGATTGGAAATACATAATCAGAGTCAACGGACGACCACCGGCAGAGCCTCGCTTCACTATAATGAATGAAGTGAGATTCACAGCGGAGGTAAGAGGCGGCTAAAAACCAGCACGCCGGGCGGCGAGGCTGTTTGCCAGACTCGTGATTCATTCGGCTGAACTACACGCGAGCCGGCAATATCAGTGTTTACAGAAACGCCTAAAGAAAATGAGACAAGTGCACCGAGTGAGACACCAACAGAGACGCTCACAGTCAGTGAAATATCAGAAAAGCAGCAGTGGTGGGAGTGTTATCGCACTCAGGATGTGCTGCAGTCGGCAGAATTAACTTCAAACACAGATTAAACCATTATTTTTAGCCATATTAGTGGCGGGTCAAGAATGAAATATTGTGATTTCAGCTTCATAAATTGCCATCCTGAACAAATTGGGTATCAGTTTTAATGCAGTTGTGGCTGTTCCAATGTAAGCCTCATTAAAAGGAGATTTAGGGTCAGAGCGTAGCGGTGCTGTTGGTACGGGGGAATTTAAACCATCGCGTGGCCAAACACTACATCAACACGGGAGTGATTCAGCTCTTAAACTGCCAGGTGGTGGGGATAAAATCAAACAAAGACAGCCATATTGGATCTAGACCCGTAAGGTTACCAGC